TGCTGAAGCATCTTAATGAGAATTATTAATAGCGATTATGTAAAATATTCGTAAAAAAATAAGCTTGCTTTACTTTGATTGCATACAAATCGATTTTATCGTGGTGTTTAAATATTCAGTTCGAATTCAAATTAAATATCTTCAATACTATAATATTGTGCATTGTTATGATGTGAATAATGGAAGAATAATTAAGAATGCCAAATATGAATGCTGCATTATGCATTTCTTTCTATCGGACAGCATAATAACGCTCCCTAAAATCGACCGTCTTCATGTAGCCACGTCCTCGAATCGAATAGCAGCTGCAACTCCAGATGAATTACAGTGGCGTGTGAACATTCATGAGATGAGAGACGGTATTGTCGGCACTTAGACATGAACAGATTCACATCCCACGGTAACAGCGTTTATACAGTATGGGCATAAGATCGACCGACGTCCAGAAAAGCAAGTTTAAGATTATATAGCTCTTTCGTTATTAAGTCATTCGTGAATACACTTTTCTCACTTTCACTTGAACGAAGCGGACAAAAAGGAATTATTTGTAATTAAATTAGAGATTTCCTGACATAGATTTAGTAACTTATCCTTTTCACCTTTACTAACAGCGCAATTTTAATTAATGTCAGGTGTAACGTTGAAAAGATAATTGGAATATTTCTATAATTGGTATAAAATGTAAAAATAAAATTTATAAAATATATTTACTTTTGCGAAAATATCAATTTTAATTCCGGAAATATTGTTATTTAAGCCAATTATTAAATAATATAAATAATATATATAAATTTCTGGTAATTAAAAACAATATAGTATAATAAAACAATATTAATATTAAATGAATCTGATTTTTGTATACCTTGACGTACGATGTTGTTTTCAGAAATGTGTTTCTGAACAGAAAATAATGTAAAAAATTAAGGGAAAATCTATGTTAAGATTAAAGATATAGCCGTAATTCGAGTCGATAATAATCAGATCAAATTTTCGGAGCTAATAATTAGATTTAATTTGCAAATAAGATACAATACCTATTATTTTTATTAAATAGAATGTCTCTATTTCATTTTGCAAGAGTCAAATTGGTCTTGTTTTAATTTAGATGTTGCAATAATCAAATAATTTTAATAAAGATAGAATTTCAACAAAATTTTATAATCCAAAATAACAAATAAGCTCGCATTTGTAATTAATTTGTAGCTTGCAATGCGCAATGTCCTAATTTTTACAAAATGTTAAATGCAGCGTTAAACGTGAATCATTCATTTTTCTCTTTGAATCATGAAAGACCATTAATTTTATGAATAAAAGATTTTCAAACTAAGATTATTTTGCAACATTTGCAGACATTACTATTAAAAAATAATATTTTTCATTTTTTCTTAACATAATTCTTTTAGTAGTTAGTGACAAAAATTTTAAATTATTTATTCATAAATTTTATAAAATATACCGATAGACTACTACTTTTTGATAATATTCACAGTAAAAATGATGTACATGACGTGATCTCTCAATCGGTGCTTCAACTATTCAGACTATCACATCGCACCATTCAATTATCGAAGTTACCAACATTCTCAACATGTTTCATGAACATAGTATGTGTGGGAGTTCGTAGACGCCATTCTACCTTCGATGCGGGAATTCGTGTAGAATGTAATTTTCGCATTTTACGTCATATCGCAGGGTATAGAAGAATATAAGTTGAGAATATTACAAAATTGTAAAAAGTCAAGCAATATTTCTTACGAGTCACACACGCGTATCACGAGCCAATCTTGAACCGCTCGCTACCGTGAGAAAGAGAATTAATTTCTCACTCGCGTTAGGATCGTTATTTTTTTTTCATCCCTGCTGCAGACAGTTTAATGCGTTTTTTGCACGTTCCATTCTCAGGTTGCCGATGCTAATGGAAGAAAGGAAGGGTGCAGGAAAAGCCCGCCGGAGGCTGTGTGCGGATCGATCGAAGACTCCACTTACTCTCTCAGCACCGCATCGAGGGAGACGAATGAGAATTATTTCTTTCGACGTTTCTCTTCGTCGTTCGCGTACATCTTTTTTTCTTCTCCCGAAGCGATATGGTGATATTAGCTTGTTCAGCAACTTTTTCCAGAAAATTACGCGATTTCTCGTAAAGCTTTCCGCAACGACCAGGCCGGAGAAATTCAAAGAGAATAAACGAAGTTAATAAATTCATCTATAAATTAATATTGTTAATTTTTATAGCAGCGGAAGTTAAAACTAAACTTTAACGTTATTTCCCGGTAGAAAGCCGAGTACCGTCATACGAGATTATTAATCTCGTGAGCATCAGCAGAAATATTTTATGATCCTATCCCGCGTTTAATTAAGAGCCCTTTTTTAATTGCGCGAGATTATAAAGTTGAAGTCCGATAGATGCGGCCGTTTGAGTTTTCTAATATAAAAAAAGTATGAACAGTTTATTCGTATAAAACAAATAATATGCTATATTTATAAATTTTTATACCTTTATATTTTGTGTCATAATTATTTTTATGAATGGTATAAAACAAAGAGAAACCTTTCCCTTGTCCGTTTTGGCGTAGGTACCTAATGTAATGTAAATCTATTTCCTTAATTTTGTGCTAAAGAAAATATACGACTACCATCAAGTGATGCGCGCAATGAGAATCGTCATCGATATAAAAACCTCGTCGACGCGGGCGTAATTTACAGCGTATCCGGCTCGCCCATAAATGCGAATTTTGCACGAGGTGGGCATTACGGGAACAATGGGATTTATGTAAGCCTGACAAGTACACGTACATCGCGGGAGATGTACGCCTAGCAATACGCGTTTACTAAGACATAGGTAAACGGAGACAGAGCCACGAATGTGGGCAGGCAGCCAGAGAAACATCTAGCTCTTTGAGATTCTTCCGCTCACGGGGGCAATGACTTATTCGACGCCGCCGTGAACGCGACACGCGTGTAAAAACAGACGTATGCACGCATACGGTCCCGACAAATCGCGCGTAAACGCATTCGAGTACGGATTTAATTAACCCGGGTGGAAAAATGTGAATAAAGCGACTGCAATCCGCAGCACGTCGTTCTTATGTGACATGCGTTTTTGACAAAGCCAAAAGATACCTTTTTTCCTCGGATGGTTTCATCGGATTCACGCGCTGTGGTCGCTAAACCACAAAACATAACATGGTAACAAGACAAAATGATGATTTAATTAAAAATTGGTGTGTATGTTGTGTGCGTTATGAAGTTTTCGCGGTGATGAAGTATCATCCATGACTTTTATACAATCAAATTCCATGAATTCTCACAAATATGTATCTAGGAATGTAAGTTGTTATATAATTTTTCTCTCAACAATTATTACGTATTATTTTATGAAATTTTGCTAAATGTGTTATGATATCGTAATAAAAATATTACCTCCTCATTATGTGACAAATTACTCAAATTCCAGCAATACGTCAATATCCTCATATAATGTAAATATGTTAATGCATTGGTTATTTTAGATTATGAAGATTGCATTTTATATAAAATGTTTACTATCGCGAAATTTCGAAATATCGTAATAAACTAATAAATATCGCGGGGCTATCGAGGAGCTTAGCAGAGCTCGCATGCATGAGCATTGTTTAATTAATTTATCGACGTATCGAATGATATCATTGTTAAATATCGTAAAGCGATGAACGCGAAAATAAATTGCGGCGTGAGTGAAACTTGTTGCCGTGCCATGAATGATTACGAATGATTTACGCGAAATTTGCGCGATGACACGCTGCACCCCACACTGTCATAACGTTAATTAATTCACAATCTCGTAATTGCGCGCATTGTAATAATGGACCAATTACCGCAAAAGCTTCGGGGGTTTATGCAACGCTCGCGAAATCGGCATATAAAAAAGGTGGCTCCCCCTTCGTGTTGCATTTCTAGCAAATCGATAATAAGATTTTGCAACAGTGTCGTTATTGTAGAATAAACTGCCGTTATTCTAGCTTGAAAATTTGCTTAAGGAAGCTTTAAATCGTAATGTTCGGTGACAAATCCTCAACGACGTCACGACAGTTAGAATGACTGTCTCTTAATGTGTGACAAAAATTTTTGCTAAAGATATTTTATCTTATTTGTGAAATTAATACGTAATGTTTCAGCAGACATAATGATTCGCTGCTTTCGTAAAGATCCCACCCTCTGTACCACACTACGTCAAAAGATTATTCATCAAAGAGTTGACCCATTTCCAGCTGACTATAAAAAATAAATGCATTTTATATATAATATTTTCAAGTTTTTTTAATTTTCGCTTTAAAGGGGATGTTGGTCACAATTCAGCTACCCCAAATAATGTGAATTGTTTTCTAAAAATATCACACTTTTTTCTTCTAAAAAATAAATTTATTTCTGACTGGAACTACTCAAAAACATATTCGCATGTTTTGTAATATTTTCCTATTTCATCTATTTTTCGAGGAGCTCATAATTTCCATTAAAGGATTGATCCATTTTCGAATACCATCGCACGAACACCTGCTTACGTATGATAATCCTTTTGACCGCAAGCTGGTTAGCGTTAATTAGGTCAAACACACTGTGCTAAAATATTCTGCAATATACGCAACCTGGCGATCACAGAAAAGGGTTAACATGAGCACACCAGGTCGCATCCCGCGACCTGATTTCGAGAGGACGGCCTTCGCGCAAGGACGCGCGTGACGTGACAGCCGCGACGATCTCGGCCAGGACGACGTTCCGCGCATTTCCGCGGCTTTCCAAGAACATCTCTTCGCGTTATCACGAAACGAGAGCCCTGCTCGATGAGGCTATTATAAGCAGGCCGTGCAGTATTCGTGGGGGACCAACGGAATCCGATAATCGAATCCTACGATGACGCGACCATACGCGCACACGGAGACGCGCGACACACGCGCTTGCAAGGCTAAACCGAGCATCGCGAATCGACCGGTCCGCAGAGGAGAGCGCGGTAGTTCTCGACTGACCTGATTCTCCGAGTTGAGCAGCTTGAGTTGTTCGTTGATGAGGCTATACTTGGTGCTCTCCTCCTTGCGCAACGCCCGCTCCTTCTTCAGTTCCGGACTCCAAAAGGTCTTGATGCTGTGCATCGAGCTGCCCAGTTTCTGGTTCGTCAGCTCGAGCTCCTTCTTCAGGTTGCCGAGCTCGCGTTGCAGATCGTTGTTCTGGTGCTGGAGTTCGCCAATGTAGCCGCCGCCGTCGCGCAGCATGTGCGGATTCGGGCTTTGACGCGCCGACCTGGAGCCGTACAGCTCGTCCTCCAGGTAGAGTCCGCGATCGCGGCTACGCTCGCGGCTCGGCTCGCGTATCGGCACGAATTCATGGTCGAGAACGCCAGCGGAGGCACGATCGAGGCTGGTGTAACGCGCTACCATGCCCGCCGAGCTGGACATGGCGGGTCTCGAGGCGCTTCTGGATCGGTGATGTCCGCCCCCACCGCCCCCGGTCGACATACTCCTACCCCTCTCCTCGAGCATCACGGGACTGCCGAGGTCCTCGTCGCGGGAGTAGTACGGGCTGCCCAGCTGATGGTGATGGTACCCGCCGCCGTAGCCTAGATGCTCCGGCGAGTTGTTGCCGCTGCGTGTTCCCCGTTGCTTGCGACCACCGAGCGGACTGCCACGACCGCTGGCATAACTTCGCGACGGACTGCGATCAACGGTCGGCAGTTCGCCCACGCGACGACCGCTGCGTGGTGAACGTGTGCCACCACCGGGACCGATCACGCCACTGCTCGAGTAAGGGTCCCGTGACATTCTACGGGAAACCTCGGCGTATAGCCGTACCTCGTCCTCCTCCTCGTAGACGCGAGAAATCGTCTCGAGTCAGTGTCGTCGTCTCGTCAGCGTTTCGTCGGTGCTCGTCGTCGTCCTCTTCTTCCTTCTCCTGCTCTACGATTACCCGATTCTCCCTCTCTATCGTGATCGCGATTGCTTTGTGCGATTAATAATTCACGCGTCTTTTTCTTTCTCGACCTAGTGATTCAGTGGTCTGTCCGTGTTTAAGGCAATGCTCGGTCCCCGATTTCCCAAGAGAATCCTGTGCAACCCGGACCTCGAAATTTCCGCAATCGCTTTGTCACGCCTTGTGATCGTTCCCCTGTCTCTCGTCACCCTCGTGCGTCTTCACGCTCATATCAGCTCGATTGTCACCACAGATGATTCAATCAACGAGCGTTTTCCCGTCACAGCGGGACGTCCGTCCGGTCTATCCGAGCTTTCAGTTAGGGTAACAGCCGGAGGATGTGCCGCTTCGCCGCGCGCGCCAGAATCTCGACGATCGCCTTCCTTTGAGCGACTCGATCTTCGCTTCGTTCCCAACTTCGTGCTCCAACATCCGGCTATGGCCGATGACAACGAGGACGACGACGATACGTTTCCGATCTCCTTGCGCCTTCGCGATCTTTTATGCCAAATCGCGGACACGACAACGGCGTGTCCTGGAATGCGCGCGGACGTTTCTACTCTACGTGTGATGGCGCGTTCGCGAATGACGGGCATTGACGAGAACGTAATCGTCTTGGTCTTCGTTCTCTCTACGCGAGAGACGGTTGCCGTGTATCGTCGATCTCAACGGAGGTTCGGTCCCTTCTCTGCCGGTCGATCGACCTCATCCTAGCATCGCGACGATGATCCTCCACCCGATCGATCCTCTCTCTCTCTCTCTCTCTCTCTCCACCCACTGCCACACCGCCACTGCCACCGCCACCTCGCCTCCTCGCCGAATACAACTCTTCCGCGCTTCTGGCCAGCGTACTACTACTAGCGGATAGTACTACTACGCGCGTGGGTCACTTCGTACTCGGCGGCGGCGTACGGCGAGGTCACGACCCTCGTCGGCCCGAGAATCGATCTTTGACCTTCTTTCGGCGGCGTAGCCCATCGAGCGAGGGCGAATAGAGATCGAGGGGGAGAGAGAGAGAAAAAGAGGTAGTCGACTCCTACCTCTTCCACTTTTCTGTCTTCCTGAACCGACACGACGAGAATGAACGAACGAACGAATCCTCTCTCGCGTACTCTCTCTCTCTTTCTCGTTCCCTCTTCCGGTCTCTCTCGCTCTCTCCCTCGGCCTCCGGTCGCGGCGCTCCGGATCCAAGAACCGCCCTTTCACGAGCCGGCCAAGTCGACGAACCAAGCCGGCTATGTTCCCTTCCTCGCGGACCTCGTTCCACCCTCGTGTGTGCCGGCGGCTCGCTCGCTCGCACGCACGCACGCACGTATTCGCGCCTGCGTGCGTACGTATGCGCGTGTACTACACGCGTGTGTCTCGCTTCCGTCGCGTGCGCTTATCGTTGGCGCACCACACACACACACACGCACGCACGCACACGCACACACACTCGCAATTTCGAGCGGAGGAGAAAGAGGAGAGGAGGAGAAGATATATTTCTCTCCTTCTCTCTTTACACGTCGCGCACTACCGTTCCCGTTTCGCGAAACCAGCGCCTAAGGTCCCTCCTTATCGATCTCATTCTCTCGCCTCTCGTCTCTCTTTCTTTCTCTTTTCCTCCCTTCTTGTGGTCTCGTCGTCGTCTCGCCGTCCGCGACTCGTGGATGACGCCCGACGTCGCTCCGCCCGACTTCCGGTGAGACACAACGCGAGACGGACGGCGAATCAACCACCGACCAACCGATCGACCAACCGCACTACACTATCCACCGTCCACCACCGGAGCACAGCCACTTCCATGCACTGACGCCGACACCGTCGCCGCCGCTACCGCCACCGGCGTTCGCCGCCACCCTCGCGCTTACCCACCCTCTCTCTGTGTCTTTTCCCCGCTTGCTCTTTTCTCCACCCTTCTCTCACTTTCTCTATCTCTATCCTCCTCGTTCGCGCAGTCGAACACGGGCCAGCCACCCCGTACGCATACGCATACACATATATACACTTGCGATTGCGCGAACCCCCGTGATTACACCCCCGTTCGGCGGCGCATAGACGTGTTCGTGTACATGTACATATACCACCGTCGCGGAGGAGCCTTAGCGCGCGACGGATCCGCGCGCACTGAGAGAATGCTCTAATACCGGCTAGGACTGAGCGAGAGAGGCCACCCTTTGCTACCACTACCATCTAGACCACTACCACCACGACCACCTTTGCCGGCTCCTCCATCATTGGCGCCACCTTCGTGGAAGCGTCACCGCGAGTTATGTCCCTACCCCGCGAATATGCTCTACGTACAACGTCACTATAATCATTGTACACATACCCGCACACATATACACGTTGGAGGGCGAAGGTAAAAGCATCGGCAGCGCCACCGATCGACGTCACCAACGTCATCGCGACAGCCACGACGCCGAGGCGTACCACCCCGCTCGATTTCCCCGTCAACCCTCCTCGCCACCCCGATCACACCCCCTCACCGTTGATCACTCCCGACTACCCCACCGAAGGCGCGACAAGCTCTATGGTGAGCACCCCTCCTTCAGGCTGGTTCGCCAACGCGCAGTAGCACACGCGGATCCATGTGTAGACGAGAGTTCAGGGTACCGTGTATCGCGTGATGCTACTAGGTAGCAAACTTCGAAAAAAAATTTTGCATTTTTACAATCTTTAAATGCGCATTGAAAATAATAAGAAGATAAAACTAGAACATTAAAACGATATGTATATGAAAATTGTTAAAATAATTTGGTACAAAATCAATATCTCAAAGAATTTTGTTAAGTTACTTTTAGAAAACAGTGTCAATCACTATTTATTCGAGATAAATGGCAATAAACTTCTTCAGATTAATAATTAGAATAAAACACTATAGCACATATGACGTATTTGTGGAATTCAGATAATAACTGAGTTAATTCAATTTTTGCTTAAAATAGATATTTTTAGGGGATTATTTCAAAGAGTATGTATATCTCAAATATTATTTATTTCTACATAATTTCAAAGTAATAAAGTAAAAGAAATTGTGTGATCATATCTTCAATATTTAAAAAAACAATTAAATTAATTTATCACAAAATGTCTCCTTTCTAAAAAGATTTCTTAAAATATATTTAGCAAAACTAATTGTAAAATATCAAAATTAGATATTTGTCAAATTATTAGATTTAAAATACACGTAAGCTATTTTAATAATTCAATGACGAGTTATATATAAAGAAATAATCAAATAGGTAATAATAAAGAATTATCTTAAATTTTCTTTCTTTAAAGATTATTATTTTCAACTAGAAATAATAGAAGATTTTTAATAGCAAATGATAAAAGTTTGTTTTTTGTCCACCAGCACGTTATATTTTAGATATTTTTCAACACAAATTCTAATGCATATATATATTTAAATGTGTGTCAACGTTATTATTGTTACTGCTATATTAATCTTTAATTTAATATTTTTATATTAATTTTTTAGAAATTTATTAATAAATGCATTTATTAATAATGTACATGAAAGGCATATTCCAGAGAGGGCATGGAAGTTTACAGATTAAAATAATCTCAGACAGAAATTATGTTACTGCTCGTTGCAACAGCGATGTTTAATTAAAACGGCTTTACGTAAGAAAAATTACTGTTGCATGAATCTCCTTAGGGCACCCCGTATTCCAACCCTGAATGCACGTTCCGTTTGGATTTTCTTCTCCCTTCTCCCCCTGACGACCGTCGACCCAGCGTACGAGCGTCGCAATCAATGAAGCTACGATTCAACGAGCAGTAACGTATCGTCATGGAATTGAATTAAGGCGGTCTCTCTGATGAAATAAATGTGATACCAAGTGTACAACGGTGGCGCAAGTTGTTATCGCTTGGAGAAAAAGTTACGACGTACCGAACGGTCGATTAACACGCGCTTCCAATTGCGTATTAACATGTAGCCTGTTCATAAAATTTGTAGTCTTTTATACTGCGCGAAAAGCAATTATAAACGTAACATATAATTTATTAACATGCTCTAAAACGTGCAATATTAAAATATACGACCTACAAAAATTTAACAAATTAAGATTGTTTTTTTGTTTAATGATATTTGTAAAAATTATAAAAATGTATGATCTTTTGTAATAATTTTTTAAAATTTAATTAATATAATATATTTTTATACATAACTTGCAATTGGATTACTTTATTTTACTTAACATGCGGTTTTGCTTTGTGAGTAAAATCAGAAAAAGTCAGAAATTATAATAGGTATGCTAAATGCAGGCGAGTTGATTTATAAATAATTAAATTTGCATTTGTTGGAAAATCCCGGAATTATAAATCACATGTGTATACAAGGAACTGATATGTAATACAAGTTCGTGATGTTAATAATGCGACTCTATAATTGTCTACAGTGTTCTATACAGTCTCGGACACTTAATGAATGCAGTTTCACATTACGTCTTGCCTTGAACATAATTACGTTTATAATTATATATTATTATAGTAAGTTCAAATCATGCTAGCAAAAAATAATCGATTGAAAAAACATATAAATAGGTATAAAATATCAAGTTAAGGATTAGTCGTAATTTCTGAAACTTATCCTTTAGTTACTACATTGCTCTCACTTTATGTATTTCATTTTATTCTCGAGTTCGATTGGACTGACTCATCCGATTAACCCACATCTCCTAAATACGGAGGATTACGCGAAGAACTATTAATCAAGCAGGAAAGGGCGTGTTTTTGTACAACGTTTGCGCGAGAGTGTATCGAGATGTAATACTCGAAACGATCGAAACAATTCTAACCGTCCCGAGTGAGTGTTATTGGTGTTAAATGGAAAAATCACAGTGATTAGAAAAATCATCGGAAATACTATCAAACTATTAATCGCTACGCCGTAATTATAATTCGTGACGTCGAGACCAATGCAATCGAGAAACCATTGATCTTTGCACTCGACTGTTTGTAGCTTTCTGGTAATATTACGATAGCGATATACAATTGTGATAAAGCGATCTCGTGCCCACAAGATACGCGGAATTTGTAAATAATGTATAGTTGATAATTGGGATTTTCTTACGCATGTGACGCTTATTAAGAAGAACAGATATTAACAAATTTAAAGCTACAATAGTAATAGATCATACAATAGTTCGTAAATTAAAATATATAAAAAATAAATTAAAAACATAAAGAGATAAAGTCAAGAGTTTTCCTAATCAAAAACACTTCTTATTATATAATATCTTTGATAAAAGTATTATGAATCTGTCAACAAGTAAGATTGTCTATCAAAAGATAATCAATTAACATCATACGAAAACAATAATAACTTTGTAACAAGATTAGGCAGATATAGATAGAACTCAAGGTAAAAAATTTTTAAGTATTTGCTTTGAGTGATTAACATCACTTCGCCAATTAGTGTTTTAACGCTAAAGTAATTTGATTACAAACTTTTTCTTGATTAATTAAAATTTACTATAAGAGATTTTTGACTGACTCGCTTATATTTGATATGAAGATGTATGTATGTATAGACTATAGATTAAAAGCTGACAAGTGACAATTGAAAATAAGATACTAATTTCACGATTAATTTGCAATTGAGATTTTTTAATCATTATCATACCCATAAAATCTATTTTGCTTAACCTTATATTGCAAAAATATTTAATTATTTATCTATCATCAATAAATATTAATCCAAAAATGACAAAAAATATAGAAAAGATAAGTGGAATTCTTTGTTACTTAATCGATTACATTGCAAAATGAAAAATCAATTGTAATAACGTGAAAAATAAAAGTATCAGAAAATAGTATCACAAGTATTTATACATATAATATATTAATAAACAACAAAGCTAGATTCTGTGACTCTCTTAATTTTTCTAATTTCTTTTCTTTTCAAAAAACCTAGAAGATTAAAATTGACTATCTTGAATTATTATCTCGAAACCTGTTTATTATTCACGGTACGCGATAAGATTTTTTGAAGGTGCGGCCAATTTAAGGATAAACGGGGAGTGCGGCCAGAAGGACTGGTTATTCTCACTTGACCGTGAAGCTCTGTCGGGGACCAAAGTGATAAAACTTAAGTGGCGCAGGCTAAGGTCGTTACCACTATCGTATGTACGATGCGTTCTCCGGCATCCTGCGATCGTCAGTAGACGATGACCATTCGTTGGCGTCGCATCGTTCCTCGATCGTGCACCTGAATCACTCACTCTATAACTAGGAATAAACATGTGGAGTCGCGTTTGGATTGCTTTGGCCCTGGTGGCCGTCGTGCCCTGGCAAGTCTCTTCGTTGCATTCGGACGCGGGACCATGGGTCCAAGCCACGAGGGGCGAACTCTGGCCTTTGCCGAAAACGCGTATTGTCAAAGAAGACTTCTATTTATTGCGACCGTCAAACTTCGACTTCCGTGTAAGTCTTCTCATCACTTTACTTTCTTTTTACACTATTCTAAACCATCAAATTATTTTAATAATCATTATTCCAATGCGGTAAAGAAAATGGATATACCTAATTGGTTTTTAAACCTTTACGAATATTTATGCTGAATTATTTAGAAAAATTAATAAGTTTTTATTGTCAATTTCATTATTTTCACAATATTACCGCAGCGTTTTCTTAATAATAAAATAATAAGACTTTCGTGCACGCGCGAAACTACTGTTTTAGTGAAACCGTTATTTCGTCGAATGCAAAATTTCTTCTTTCTCACTTATTCTATCCTTTTGGCATAGTATGTTTGCATCTTTATTGAATATTACTACTATCTCTTCAAAAGTAATATAAATTAATTTTTAATAAGAAATGAAAAACTTTAATAAGAAAATTAATTTTAAATAAATGACGAATTACCTTAATTTTTACACATTGTATTCATATTTCTATTTGTTGATTGTGTCATATTTTTAGCAGCTTTATAAAATGTTATCTTGATTTTATATCATTTTATATAATTTAACGTTTTTATTTGCAAAGGTGATCGGTGACACGTGCGATATCGTGACTGAGGCAATAGAACGGTACACGAGAATTATTTTGACGGAAGCTAGGATAGCAAGATTGGTCACGGAAGGGCAGCCAAGAACATCCGTTCGAGACGATCCTCATTTTAAAGGCACTCTTGAGGCTCTAAGCATCCGTCTGTTGCAGCCTTGCGAACAGAACGGCGAACATTGGCCACATTTGTACATGAATGAAACTTGTAAGTTTCCTTTGTAAGTACAAAATTAAACCTAATTTTTTTAATTTGTTAATTTGCATGATAATTAGATATATGTAACAAATAACAGAAAATGTTGAAAATGAATTCTGCCATTTATATGCACTTTCTCATTTCAAATAGATTTAAAAATAGATAAACGTGAATATCTAATTAATTAACTAATGGCAAACCTGCAACTGTTGTTACAAGTCTTCTAATGTATGTTTCATGTGCACTCTCTTTGCATGTGCAGCACACATTACAAAGTAATAGGTAGTGCACCAAGAAATTAATTGAATGATGTCAGTGAGCAGCAGCAGCTCACTCGTAACCCCGACCTAACATTCACCGATTTGCGTCGATAACGGGCTTGCGTGAGCACAAATTGGATTTTTGCAGTCCTTAATAACGTCTCCTCTTATCAGCAATATTAAACCAATTTATCATCGATTTCATGATTTCCGATAGGCTTCATTAAACGGTACATTAACTAACAGACAAAAAATAATAAAAGAGATAAAGAGATCACACACAGTTAGAAAACACTGTTTCATATCTAACGAAGACAAAAATAAGATTTATCTTTCCTAATTAATTAATTTCCACTTTATAATTTTATATATTTTAAAAAAAGCAACTTTTTTAATAAACCTTTTACATTTAAAATTGCAATAGAAAGCAGTCCTATACGCATATATAGACAGAGAAAACTAATATCTGTTATAAATTATAATATATTTGGGGTTCAAAAACTTACTAAATATCTTAAAAATACGTAACTTTTTATATCTGCACAAAGTTTACGATATTTAATAAGTAACATATAATCAATATTTTGTCTCAATTTATTTCTCATGATAAGATTTTAGGCTCTTTGAAACAATGACCGATCAATTTATTACTGATCGCGGAGGAAATTACAATTAATTTAGTCCAATTAAAGGAGATTTCAAGACGCGAAATAAAGATGCAGACCGAACACGCGCAAGACGAGTTGAGTTGAGCAATGCGCAATCAGCAAAACGATTGAAACGAAAGCGGACAATAAGACAACTCTGATCTGCTTCCTAGTTTCTTATCGTTTAAAGACTTTAAAGTTAAATGCCATAAGGTCATAACCACCGATTAGCGAACTAAATTCTATGATTTTCTCCGTGCTCGTCTTCCTCGATCGAGTCGATTTAGCACGACGCTTGACATCGCGGTACACGCCTTTTGCAGATAAGCTCGATATAAACGAGACCTCATCGGTTGCCGTCCTATGGGCCGAATCCGTGTGGGGAATCCTTCGTGGTTTCGAGACTTTTTCGCAAATATTGGCACCGTCTGGCGATGGCCCGAGCGTAAATATTAAAATATTTATATATATACCTTTTATTTTAAATAATGGATTTTTTATGCAAACTATAAGAAATAAAATGCAAAGATGATAAAAAGAACGTTTCGTGGAAAAAATATTGACAATTTCTGCTGGCTCGACTATGGAACTTGTCAACAGAAAAAAAACAACTTTCAGAGTACAGCGCTTATAATGTTTTTGCAATTCTTCTACGCGGATATTATGATCTTTATAGTCTAAACAATTAAACCAACATAAATTTAATCGCGTGTTGCAGTTGAAAGTAAAATGCCAGACCATCTTGGACGGGCCAAAATTGCCGCATCGCGGCCTCCTACTCGATACCTCTCGCCATTATCTACCCCTATCTGACATACTGTTGACACTGGACGCTATGTCGTACAACAAGCTAAACGTCCTTCATTGGCACATCGTCGACGACAACAGTTTCCCGTATCAGAGCACCAGTTATCCCGACCTGTCCGCCAAAGGCGCTTACCATCACTCGATGATCTACACGCCTAATGACGTGCAGAAAGTTGTTGATTATGCGAGATTACGAGGGATCCGAGTGATGCCCGAGTTCGACACACCTGGGCACACTAGATCATGGGGTCTGGCTTATCCGGAATTACTGACAACGTGTTACGGTAAATGAAGAAGATATATAATTTATCAATCAGTCACGATGTTCTAATAAAATTCTAAGTGTGTCAGAAATAAATAATAATTTTAAAAGATTCAACACAAATTCATTTTTATCTCTAGATTCTAGGCTAATATCTCTTCAGTAATGTAAATTAGCTCATTATGTCCGTTAGATTCTTCCGGAAAGCCGAACGGTAAACTAGGCCCGATGGACCCGACGAATCCGGCTCTGTATGACTTTGTACGAAATTTGTTCTCTGAGATCGTGCAAGTATTCCCGGATCAATATCTCCACCTGGGTGGCGACGAAGTACCCTTCGATTGCTGGGCCAGCAATCTGAGAATTGTCGACTACATGAAGGCGCGCAATATGTCTAAGAAATTCGAGCTGCTCGAGAACGAATATATAGCCAAGCTACTCACGATCAGCAATTCGCTAGACGCCAACACTATTGTCTGGCAAGAGGTGATTACTTCATTTTTCTTTTTTTACAATAAGAAATTCGATTATTGACAAAATTAATAGAGATTTATTACAAGAGACATTTCATTAAATATAAATTGCATGGCTTATAGGTTTTCGATAATGGCGTTGTGTTGCCTTCGAGCACCGTAGTGCACGTTTGGAAGTTGCCACAATGGCAAAAGGAGCTAGAGAGAGCAACGCTGGCAGGACATCCGGTTCTGCTGTCATCCTGCTGGTATCTAGACCACATCGCCAGCGGCGGCGACTGGGAAAAGTATTACAATTGCGATCCCTTCGATTTTGTCAATGCAGGCAATGCCACGCATCTGATGCTCGGCGGTGAGACTTGCATGTGGGCAGAGTTTGTCGACAAGTAAGTCTTTTCTTTCTTTGAACTCATATTTGAAAAACTATATACGGATGAGATCCTTTATTTGAAAATCAGTTCTGATGTTTATAATCTTTTTCTTGGCAAATGTATCAAAGGGCAAAATACTATGTGGACGATAATATTTATTTTTGTCTGTTAAGAAAACGATTACGAAATGTACGCCGAGCATTGAGCCATCATATTTATTTTCAGAAATAACGTACATCCGAGGATCTGGCCACGTGCGAGCGCGGCAGCCGAACGTCTGTGGAGCTTCAACAAGCAGGATAACAGTGTCGCCGCTCGACGCTTGGAAGAGCACGCTTGCCGTATGAACAGACGCGGTATTCCCGCCCAGCCGCCGAATGGATCAGGGTTCTGCGTAACATAGCCGGTTCCCCGTCAGTCGACACCAATGCTCCGTTTAATCTAGGCAACGTTTACGCTCGCATAGCGAGCCCACGAGAAATACGAGCCTTCGTTTCGCGCACCCATTCATCGCTATTGCATAAGCACGCGTGTATCATCAATAAATACAGTTAAAGTAACACGAGAACCTGTATTTTTTTTCAAATCCGTCTCTAGCAACAATTCCCAACAATTCCCAACACGCGTATTAATTACAATGATTGAAAAAGAATGCTATAAATAAGTAAACTAGACGTCCTTTTAAAATAACCAGAAATGACTGTAATTATATGCATATAATAAACTATACGTTTTTTAAACATAGGTCTCCTGATGCATTATTATTTCGTACATTTCTATGTGTAAAATAAAATTTGTCTGAATCAATCAATCTTAAGAATAACAGGATGTTGAAATATTTAAACCTCATCTGCTTATATATGTCGCGATTGTGTTATATCTATCATTCTTCCTCCCTAACAATGTCGAAATCATGATATATTCTTGAATGTAGATGTTGCGACAAAGATACGGCGTTGCTTTTGTTACTAGCTTTTCAGTCGAGCTCGTGAACCATTGCTGGAATGCACCGACTGATGTGCATCGGGAGTATTGTCGAATGTGGACATGCGGTGACAGTTGCATTCCCTATAGAGAAGGAATCTCTTTGTCGAAACTCAAACAGTTGTAACGAAATTGATTTCCGTTGGCGGTTAAAGTCAATTTAGACCGAATACTTTTTACCAGCGGTATGCAAATTGCAAATGCTGTTCACTGCTGTTTATCAAATAATTAAACCCAATCCAGTTCCGAACATCGTATTACTACCAACAGTTGGCAAACTGTATAATGCAATTAAATAATTTATGCAAATTGTGATAATTTATTTTATACGTCTGTTTATTGTTCATTTATCTTATATCTTAATTTTAATAATAATTTTTTTAACAAATTTTGAATCAGCTTTTTTTAGGAAATACTACTATACTATTTGTTGCAATTTTCATATTCAATGTCAAATACTTTTTAATAATTAAACCCAATCAAATTAGCATCAAGTGGCATAAATCATAAGATTTCGTTATTCCTTATCTCTTTTTTTTTTAACTTTTATAAATCTTTTATAAATCTTAACTTTTATAAATCGTTATCAGTTAAACATTTTAGACAAAAATTGTCTAGATCTCTAGCTGTCAGCTATGATAAATTACTTAATGCTTACGTTTCCTACAAAACAAGCAATTAACGTCAGCCTTGTACATACATACATACATACATCTAGAAACGGAAAAGAGAAACGGGAATCACCGTACTTATGTGATTCCCGCGCGTAATTTATTCTGCGAAAGCCGACAATCGATTTTTTACGGGTCACCAAGGTTACCAGTAAATAATCTTTGACTGATCAGTCCACAGACATGAGAGGCTAATTTTAAATTCCAAAGTATTTCTTGTTAGCAACCAAAATTCCAAGTAACTTTATATAACTTCCACGACGACGCGTATTGTCACTCATTTGATCGGAAAATCAACAACTTAATGTCAATTATTAAATCTCTAAAGAAATACAGAGTAACGTCATCGACAAATAACGTTGTCTTGAACACATCTTTAACATCATGTCGAGGTAAATTTTACTGGGAATTCATTATACTAATAGAATTTGTTTTAGTCCGATTATATTATATTAACACAATATTTCATCTACGTAATCATTTTCGACATCATATTGCGTCAAATTTTCAATTTTATAAAAATAATCCTATATGTAATAAAATAACAAAAAATAATAATGAACGAACGTCATAGAATTAATTAATTGGAAAGTTTACTTTAAAAAAACATTTCATAAAAAATAAAAGACTATATTAAATTAATTTTCTAATTAAACTATATTAAATATGTGGTATATTGCAATTAGATTAAAGTATGCGCAAAAAAAATAATTGAATATTTTTTTCTTAATTTGCATATTAATGAGTAATATTTTTAGTCATTTAATAATTTATATGGTATATTAAGTTCCAGGAGTTGCCAGAATTTACGTCTTCTTCCCCCTTCCTGTCGTCTACCAACGAAATGTTCAGTTCCATGCTCTGTAATTTGTTGTACTCCACCTGTGAGCTATCCTTACGTGCCTCGTGTATCCCGTGTTCAATATAAAACAACTTGCTCACCCCAATCTGTGCCAAAACCTATTAAGACAGTGGTATGTTTGTCACGCGGAATATCAACTTTCGTTCTTTAAGAATTTTCTCTGATAAGTATGTCATATGACATAAAAAGGTCTTTTAAAATATGGTTTACTTTGTTACGTTTAGTATAATACGCACATATTGTAAAGTTAAAGTCTATTCTTAAAAGACGTCATGGTTGATTATTATTATACATCATACTGAATCAATTTCTATCATTTCAAACTGTTATTTTTATTTTAAATAATTAATTTCTATTGTTGTCTTGTGCGCTGATGTATAATATTATATACACACATACATAATATTTTATGCTTCTTTGAAAATAAAAAAACTGAAAAAAAAATTTTGCAATAGTTATATCTACCACCTTGTCCAACCTGCTCTACTTCTCCACCGAAAATGGAAATGACGTATCTGCCACCCGCACCCACATCACCCTCTTCGCCACCCTGCTTTTACGTTTGCAGCACGAATTGCGTTCCTTGCACACCTTGCCCATTACCAATCTCGTGTAATTCGCCCCGTAGGCCCCCGCAATGTCGTCAGTGTGTTACTATACTTCCATTTATTAAAATTAATTGCTGAGGTTAATATGAGTTTCTTGTTTCACAGTACCTTGTCCCTCTGTTAAGTGACGGCGCGCTAATTGGCGACTGACTGAACAGTAATTACACAAATGCAAGCAAAGTAAGCGTCACAAAAAAAAAGTACATAAGAGATAAAAAATACGAGCTTGCTAAACGACACGCTTAAGCTAGATTATAAATTATGAAATTTTTTTATAACATATTTATAAAAATAAAAATTAAATTAAAACTTTATAAAGTATGAGCTTTATAGAAATTTTAAACAAGAATTTATATGATTTTAGTAATTATTCTAATATATTGCTTATTCATTTCCTATGCAATTATAACATTTTGATAATCTTTTTTCTTAGATAAAGACTTATTTTTCTCTATTGATTTTTTTCTATTTGCAGGGAAAGAAGAATGTGAAGAATAATTAAGATATAAAATCAATTCGACATTAGTTTGACTTAAATCGAAGAAAATTTTATCACGCAAAGAAGGCGAAGAAAATTAAATCTACGAAATAAATAAATAATATAAATCTAAATGTACTTTCGAAA